CAGCCCTGCAACATCAGTTTTGAACGCATTGGCCATCATGTTTAAATCTACCGACACAAAGGGGTGCGTATACTGGATGAGGGCCTTGTGGCGGATCTGGCCGTAGAGCGTCTCAAGGTGATCATGTAAATGGATGTCAAGCAGCAGATTTGCTTTGAGATTCCCAAGGTAATCCAGGCATGAAGCATAATGGCTGTAAAAGATGAGAAGATCAATGTTACTAAAACTGAATCCCTGAGCATCATCAGATAACAAGCATTCTACACTGCCAAGTGCCAACCGATAACAGCAATTGCACAAGCACCTTCAACTTTTCATATTCAATCCAAATGAGGAATTGGAAAACATTAACTCATTGCAACTGAAACTAAGAGTAAGCAATGTTTAATGCAATTGCAAAGTAATGTTTAATGTCACTTGATAAGATTGTTTAAAAAGAACAACTAATATTAAGAACCTCACATGATTGAAAACCTATAAATCTTTCAGACTATTTCTTAGTATAACTTGAACTTCCCCCACCATATCCATTGTGCATGTCGAAGCACCATTGCCAAAATTAACACACTGATAAAGCAAGTCAACAACTAAAAAGATCACATTACAATAGATTACCTTGTGTAAAAATCATTGATAAGCTCCCTGACTTCAGGTACCAACTCTAAAAAATTCCTGAAATTCAGGTTGTCTATAACTTTGTTCTGTCATATAAAATCATTTACTGAGAAAGAGTGTTGTACTTCTGAAAAAAAAAACCCAAAAGATCAAAGGGAGAGATAGTTGAAAGGAAAGAAAGAATATATGCCTTCAGTTCCATGCGGTCAAAAGTTGCAAGTGCACAAAGCCCACCATATGTTGCTACATCTTGAGGAGCAATCACTTCATTGTAGTGATTTCCCAATTCAGGCCCGGTTTCCAAGAACTGTAATGTCACAATGAATGAGAGTGATAAAAACATTAGATGTCTCACAAGAGCAACAGATAAAGAAAAGGCATAGACTACTACATTGACAAAACACTGCAGTTGATTGATTTTACAAGGTAATGGGGGTAATAACACTCTTCAAGTTGGATAGACACAAAATTTAGGGAACCGGGGACAATCTTAAAACTTAGAGACCAAAAAAAAAAAAAAACTAAATTAGCAATAATTAAAGACCAATTGTTTCCTTTGATTTTAAAGGCATAAGTTCAATATTATCCGAGTATCTGTCATATATTCTGCCCAACAAGAGCATATAGATTACAACTGAAATAAGATTACAAAATGACGACATAGTGCAATTAAAGCGAGTTGTAAACAAATAATTACACTATGAAGGTTCTCATAAGGCGTATTAAAAATGATCCAGAAAATCAGATAAAAAAAACGAAAGATGTCATTATATACTGAGCATGTACATGATAAAGTTCATTGTGTGAAGTGTGAACACCAAATGCCGAGCATCCAAACACTCCCTCACGGTCTGCACCTATATCTTTAAAGATACACACACAAACACAGACATATCAAGTCATCATTAACTCAATCACATCCTCTTAGTTTGCAGTTGAAACAAATTTAGTGCATGAAATCATTGACTGTTAAATCGTTAATTGACCTTCTGAACATCTGTAAATCATATTAGCATACCAAGCATAACATGCCTAACCAAATAAAGGAAAAACACATGGATCATAAACTTGCAAGTACTTTATGTCAACGCACAAAGCTACAAGATTTTATATCCATTCCAAAAATACAAAAATGACAATAAGATTAAAAAAAAAAAAGAAAAAAGAAACATCCACCAAACCTTACGAGCAGCAAGTTTGTACTTTTTAGATTCCAATTGAGCCAAGCCAGCAGCACAACGAAGTTTAGCAACAGTGACTGGGTCAAGGGCTTCTGGTATTTGTTCTGCTTTGGTAACATAGCTTGTGACATGAGTAAATTGACCCATCTCAATGCTGACCAAAGTTGAACTCATGCACATGTGAACAATATGCTTTGACGTAGTGCAATAATCACGAGTCCGAACATAATTTTTAAAAGCATCCCCAAGTTGACCATGAGCATAATAAAAATCTCCAAAATCATTGTAACCCATTCTTATGCTTTCTTTGATCAAATTTGTCTGCACAAAAGCATTTGAAGGAAGAATGAGAGATCATGGTATGAGATAATGGGAGCCAAAGAAGATTCAATCACATATATTGCACTTATTTCACCATTTATGAACATGAGCAAGGAAATATGCATAACAACCCTCACAGAGAGAAATCCCAAATGTAGGTTTTTTCCCACCATTAGAGATAGCAGAACCCTAATCATTGCATATGAGAACTGATTAGAGCCCAATAAGAAGTTACAAAAAAGAAGTTCTAAGAGGATAAACGGTTGAAAAACATGCAATATGTATAAGTTAAATGTGTCTGAAAAAATCTGTGATGCATTAACCAATGACAATGTTGCACTTGGAAACCTCCAATTTGAGCCCAAAGTTGATTATTACCCGACAGATTCACTAGGTTGACGAGAATAACGACCACTGTCCATTTCAATTAACTAATCATCAAAACCCCATATTCATTTACTTGTACAAAACTGTAGTCCACCATCTCCTTTACTTCTCCTATACCCAAAAAAAATGAAATCTATTCTTTCCCTTTAACATCTTTTCACTCATCCACCAAGGCATCCGAAAGCAAGTTAAAGTTGAGGGGTGAACAAGTTGTTTACTTACTACCCAACATTGCCTAAAATACAAACCAAAGGACCATGACTACCCTGTATCCTGAATACAACATCTCATCCATAACCACATTCCTTCGTCAGGTGTCAAATGTGATGCTGTACCTGATCGTTTAAATCAGATCTCTATTTTGGTACAGCGAGAGGGAGTTTGCTATGGTCAGTGTATACATATCATACTCCGAAAATGATATACTATGACAAACCATACAATAAAACACAGACTTATTACAATAAACACAGCAAATAGACTATAGGCACACCATATCAGTTATAACAACATGAACAAATGGAATTAGCTAGCTTTTCTATTTGGTGGATTTCTTTTCCGCTTGTTGTGATTCGTTCTATTGTTTTTCTAAAATTCTACCGGTTTCTTCTCAAAACAAAAAAATATCAAATACATAACAACATAAACAATTAAACACAAATTACAAGAAACCCAGCAGAAATCACCACAAAAACCCATAAACTATTTAATCACATAAATCCTAGAAATTCCAGAGTCATAAAACTACATACCCTGTAGGCATTGAGCTCGTTCTCGAGCTTCTCCTTCTTCTGCTCGGCCCTCCTATCCACCGCGTCGCACCAAGCCACGTCCATCCCATACTCGGGCCCCAATCGACCACCGATCTTCTGCACGACCTCTCTATGCAACTGGGTGTTCTCCCCCTTCTTGATTTCGTCGTAGGCCATGCGGAGAGCCTCCAACTCCATGGCCTGGTTGCTTTGGCTCCTCTCGGCGATGAAAAGGAGGCGTATGATCTTGGTACGGCCGCTGTACAGGCTCGCGTAGGCCTCGATATCGAGTTGCTCGCTGCTGATGATCGGTCGGCTGCGCTTCTCGTCGTCGCCATCGACGCCGTTGGCGTAGATCTCGTCGTCGATCATTGGTCCCGATGTCTCGTCATCGCTTTCCATTTGGGGAAAGTCTGAAACCCTAGGGCAGAAATTTGGGGGGAATTTTTGTCTACGTTGTACGGGTAGTGCTACAGTGCTGCTCCGCTCTCTCCCTCCCTCTTCACTCTTCCTCTTCGGTTTCTACTTCCTAGGAGAGCGAAACGAATCGTGGGCCGACCGGACTGTTCCTATTCCTGGACTTTTGGATTGGGCGGGCTTTTGTTTAAGGCTTTTGAACCCAGTTTGAATTAAGAAGCATACAAGCAAGGGAATCATAATTCATCCCAAAAAGTATATGCTGCTATACTTATCATATATTTGTATCATTATTTATATTATAATTTTAATAGATGTAAGGTCTACCAGTACATGCGCGTCCTATATTTATTAGAGATGATAGAAATATATGGAAGAGTAGCATTTTTGCCCTAAAAATCTCATCAATACCTGCATCTTAATTTTCAAAAATGTTATTCTTATCATATTTGTATCAGTTCTCTAATACAGATGAAACTCATATATGTTGATGTACTCTACTTTTATTAGAAAGATAATACAAATGTGTTATGAAAAATATGGTAAATGTAGTATTACTCATTAATTTTAGAGTAACCCTCAAGTATCGTGAAATTTCAACTTTCATACATAAAACCTTTTCGTTTTACTCGTTTTTTTTTTTATAATTTTTTTTTATAAGAGAGATTTAAAAAAAAAAAAATTTAGTAAAACTTTTATTATTTCAGTTTTTCATTTTTTATTGTGTCACTCTCCTACTCCTTCTCTATCTCCCCAACCTCTTACCCCAGAGTCATCGCTTCTCCTGTCACCACCAGCCACCTCCTATGTCACCACCAACCACCTCCCATGTCACCACCAGCGCGTCCCATGTCAGCAAGATGCGCTCAACCCCTTTATCGTGACATTATCTTGTAATTCCCTCCTTCGTAAGGCTATTACACTCTTTGTTTAACAAACAAAAAAGGAGAGTTTCGTGACCAATAAGTTTGATGGGCTTGGTCCAAATCTAGATTCTAGTTGTAATGTCATAGACGGCCCTCCTTTTCATGTGGGGGTTTAGGCCCACTTATTTTTAGCGTTTTTGTTGGGCTTCCTTCCATCACTTTGACAAAAAAAAAAATTACACTTTGTAAGCTAAAAAATAGAAAAATCTTAGAAAAAAAAATCTGCTAAAATTTATTATAAACCTTTAAAAAATAGAAAAATCTGCTAAAATTAAATTATTCAAGAAGAACAAGCGACTCCGGTACTCCATAATTTGGACGCATGTCACGTGACCGGACAATCATTGCATTTTGCTTTAAGCCGCGTGTCCCTGTTGAAAAAGGCGCGCAAAAGACGTGGGTTTGTTCCTTTGCCCCTTCTCCTCATTTCTTTACACATACACATTCTGCAGCACTCCCAATAACATCCAACATTGGATTCCAGAAATCTCTCTCTCTGCAACTTCTCTCTGAAATCGAACGGCAATGGCGAGTCCAACTCAGGACATGATCGACACGTACATGAGCATCACCGGCGCGTCTCACTCACTCGCGCTTCGAAAACTGGAGGTTCGATTCTCTCTCTCTCTCAATTTTCAGTGACTTGGCATATTGTTGAGTCGCTGTGCAAGCTTTCATTGCGTTCCTTGAATGTTTGTTTTGTAAGATTATTATTTGCTTTTGTTTTTAATTTTTTCAAAATTAGCAAAAACGGTGCCGCTTTTCTGCCTAGGGTTTCTTGAGCCATTCTCTTTAGTGCAAGATTGTGCAATTTCTTGACTTCTTGATGAAATGTAGGTAGTCATGCTTGTGTAGTTTCTTGAATTCTTGGTAAAATGTTGTGTCATGCATAAGTTCTTGAATTCGGGATCTAAGATTTGGTACTTCTTTCTGCAAATTAAAAGGTTTTAGTGTGCGATGTTAAGGTAGATGCACAAGTATTCGTCGATTACGAAGAATAGAGCCTTCGTGGATTGGATTCTTAACTGAATTTGCTCTCTGTCTGGCTGGCATTGCAGCATTCGATGAGCTACTCTAATTTTCGTCTTCTAGGATGACTCGTGCGTTGAGCGTGTAACAGTCTTCGTGTTTTATTTTTGAATATATGGTTTGAAAAATCTATTCCTCAGCACCATAAGCTTATCAGTTAGTCATACCTCAGGCCTTTTACATCAAGTGCTACCGCTAAGGCTTTGGTGGCCTTGGTTGTGAGGTTGGAAGCTGAGCCGAGGTGGGCTTAGTTCTTTAGGATTGGTTGAATGTGGATTATCTAGGGACACTGTGCTATCCTGCTCAAAAGTGGTATTTAAATGTTTTGCACCCGGTAATGTGAATTGTATTTTCTTTATGATGGACTTCTATGTTTTCTGAGTTGTCTGGTGCGTCTTGGCTGGTAAACAGGAATACGGAGGAAATCTCAGCGAAGCCGTGAATGCACATTTTGGGGGAGTATATAGAGACTTGTATTGCATCTTGAGTTCATCTTACTCCTCATTATCTTCGTGCTCAACTTAGTAGTACATTTTAACATTCTACACTAGTGTTTCTTCACTATTTGATAATTGTTTTACTTCTGTTCTTCCGGCTGCAGTACAAATATGGGGTCGGCTGCTAACCCCCAGTACAATTTCTCTCATATGGATGGCCAGAATCAGGTTGCACCACATGCTTACCCGCAATACAATAATATGAGTGCTCAGAATCAAGTTGCACCACAAGGACTTGGACCACTTCTCTCTGCTGCTAGGAGTTTCAGGCCCTCGTTACTCCTTGATCCTAATTACAGTAGAGGTCTCTTTAATCGAATTACTGGTCGTGCACCATTAAGTTCACAGCCAGGAGCGGTACCTGGGGTTCCTGTGGAGTTTAACAGAGGGAATGATCAGCCTCATCTCTCAGGACAGAGGCCTCCCATTCAGGACATGACCGGAAATCTACATGGAAATGATGTGGAGGAGGAAATGATTCGAGCTGCTATTGAGGCTTCAAAACAAGATGCTCAAAAGGCTTATCTTCTGAATATGCAAAGCAGGGCTCAAAATGTACGCTATTGCCAATTTAACTGAAGTTTTGTCATTCTTAAGTTATGACTCTTGTCAGATTTTTTCATGCAGGTGTCTCCTGTTAATGGGCTTCCAGATAATCAAATTCACCTAGATAACAATGATTTTGATCGTGCAGTTTCACTGTCCCTGAAGGTTCCTAATCTTGAATGCTTTGCTTTGTTTTGGGAGGTTGCTTCCATATCTTAGAGGGTATTGATCTATTTAAAATTGAATTGAGTTCAGACAGCAGAACGAGAGAAAGCGAAGCGTGAGCAACAAATGAAAGATAAGAACCAAGTACCAGGAACTTATAGTACATCAAGGGTATGGCCTCTACTTATGGTGTGTGTGTGTGTGTAATAGTGTGCACATACAGTGAGAAATTTAAGGAAGAAAAAGACTTTTGAATAAGAATTGTATAGGAATTTTCATTCAGACAATTTCACTACAGGTTATATGATCTGGGAAAGGAAATTGTAGGCTTTTGCACCATACACGTTAGAACCTTTTGCAGAAATTGTTTCAGATAAATTTTAGGCAGTTTTTCTGGCCAAAAATGTGTTTAGTATTCTTGCTGAACTTCTGAGTATTATACATTCTAAATCGTAAATAGAAATATCATTTTCTTCCCATTCTGAAGGAAAAGGTTTTGTTTCTTCTAAAATGGTTGTTCCTAATTTATAGTGGGAAACCTCAATGCACCACGATGGAGATGGAAATGTAGAAAGAAAACAAGCGAGTCAAGAGTTGAAGCATGATTCTGGGAACAATCTTCAGCAGGGTAACCTTGCCATTAGTTCTGAAGAGGTATCATTTTCTTGTTCTAAATGTTTTTGATTTAGCCCATTTAAAGAACAGGGACTGCTATACTAATGCAATTGTTTACATATCCTTGTAGTTAGGCGGCATTTCTTCCAAAGAGCTTGACGAAGCTATACTGCTTGAGAATGCACTTTTTGGTGAATCCTCATATGCACCTAATTTTACAAGTGGTCCAAGTAGAAATTTGGATCCTAATTTGCAGCCTGTTCATGGCCCTTCATCATCCGCTCTAACAACAAGACAATTGCTTAGAGAACAACAGGTTTTAAAATCCTTCTTGAAATCACTATCGTGAGTGTTGGTATTCCAGTTGTCCAACTCTTGACTGCTAGAAATATTGCTTGCAGGATTGTGAGTATCTCGCATCCCTCTTGGCTGATAAAGAAAAGGAAATGAATGGTGTTAATGAAGTTGGAACTTGTGACATAAAGGATGTCGGCTCTGACAACAAAAAGATTGATCCATTGGTATCTGTCAATATTGTTGAATTGTTTTATGCTATTGTTTACAATTGATTTTTGGATTCCACTTCTCTGCATAAAACTTGATATTGTGATGTTTTCCTACTTTTAAGTGTTGCAAGAGATACTAGGAAACAATTGTAATTCTTGATTGTCTAATTTGTTCCCGATGTCCTACATGTTGAAGAAGTTTATTGGTGTATCTCTATAAGAATGGTTCTTTGATATTCATGTGTTTTTAGTGCTTAAGTTCATGTAGTTCAGAACTCATGGTGGAATTATTGATCTGAAGAACCTCAGAGTTCGAATAAAGATAAATGTATAGTCAAAGACACAGGCCGCTGACTTCACGACTGCATATGATAACTAAAATGTGTAGTGCTGTCTGCATCTGCAGATATGAAGCTGTAAATTTTGTTGCACAGGCTTTGGTCACCGAGTATATGTATATGGATTTTGTTGTAAATTTTGTAGTGCTGTCTGCATCTGCAGATACGAGTATTCCTTTTTGTTGTTTGGTAGTTTTCAATGTGTTCCATGACTGTATCAAGGAAATAGAATTAGATTCCTGTGACTTCAATGACTGTCTTTGCACCCTCAATCTACACAGCTTTCCTCTTTCCCAATATTGTTTGGTAGTTTATCAGTCAATGAGGTTGAGGTTTATGATGGAATGATTACCATTTTGATTTTTCAATGGCATAATGTTATAATTCTTTTCCCTACAGTCTAATTGTCTCACTGATGGCAGGAACTCGAGAGGAGGCTTGCTGCGAAAAGGGCTTCGCTTCCTTGTGAACCAGCAATAGATGATCAGAATGCTGTGACTCTTCTTGTAAGGATGCCAAATGGAACTCGCCTTAGTCGCCGCTTTAACAAGTCTGACAAGCTTCAGGTACAATTTTAAAATCTTTATAAGTTAAAAAGAACGTCTCTTTGTCTCAACTGACCAAAAATCTTGTTCCATTTTAGGTTCTGTTCGACTTCATAGATGTTGGTAGAGAGGTTAAGCCTGGAACTTACAGAGTGGTAAACACTCCTCTTTTCTTTGGCTTTTTGTTTGTTTGTTTGTTTGTTTGTTTTTTTTTTTTTTTTTTTAACGAAATTGGATGAAATTCATAAAATAAAAAAGTAGAAAATAGTAGAACACTTTTAATTGGTTTTCAGATTGTGGCATTAGCAAACTGTTAAGGCATGGGCTGTTATATCCAGTTGCAGGATTCAATACAGAATCATGGGCTGTTAAAATGGAATATTTGACCCCGAATGTGGTAATTTAAGACGCAGACGATGCCGTAGACTCTAAATCACATGCGGTGTTTAATTTCAGTAGACATGACATGGTTGCCATACTGTCCAGCAAAAGTTTGGTTGTTTTTCGTCATCTAAATAGGACGATGCTGCACGTCTACTTTCTTGCAGACATGACATGATTGGCATTCTGGTTGAGGTTTTTTATTTCTGTGAACAGGTGAGGTCATATCCTCGGCGTGCTTTTACTGTTGGTGACAGCATACTATCGTTGAGTGAACTTGGCTTGACAAATAAACAAGAAGCTCTGTTTCTGGAATTGATTTAGAGTACAGCTCTTCCTTCGAAGTTTCGTCTCTGATCATACAACTTGACACAAGATGAAAGGTATGGTCTTTGTCTACGGTTGATTCATTTTACTAGGGAGCTAAAGGGACATGATCCGGGCCAGGTTTGGAACCTAGATCATGTCCTCGGAAGGTAGTGGACGTTGAACTGGTTGACCGTTAATGCTGTTAGTAATCCTGCTCATGGGAGGTAATGTCTCAAACAACCTGCCGTACCTCAAACCCTGTAAACCAAAGAAAAGCGACATGCATTCATCAGGATAATGCCGGTGTGTATATGATTTACCTTCTCCATGTTGCATGCCTTCTGAGTTTGTACGACATGTTCGATCTTGTAGCATGCTCTGTTGGTGGAACTTCGATTACCGACACGAGGATGTTTTTGTTGTAGAAAAATTGCATTTAAACTGCTTCTTTTCATTGGTATAGAATTCTCAATCCACAAATCTTGAGTGCATGGGAAAAAAAAATCATTAAATTTCAAAATTATCGACATAAAAATTGGAATAATTTGAAGTAAAATAAAAAAAAGGGGAAAGCCCTAAAGGTAGAGGCCTATGAAGTCGATTTGCTATGTTCTTGATTTTCTTGGGCAGGAGCTGGGGCAGTCCAGTACTGCTTGACCGCCAACAAAATCTTCTCTCTCACCTTTGGTCCGTTTTCATGGTCAACGATTCTGGCATCGTATTGCATTGCATCCAAGATGCTCTTGACTTTCACCAACACGTCCACGTCATCGCGGAAGATTATACTGCCCTCTGGCCTTAAAATCCTATCCATTTCTAAAAGAATATCTTCCGCTTCACATCTGCAACACAAATGAATCATGTTCAAGTTAGTAATTTTAAATGCTTTTGATGATTTTTTAGGGATGGATTGTTCGCGCGACTGATCCAATGAGACGCAATCAGTAGGTGTTGCATATTTGACGTATATTGGGATTAAAAGCATCAATGAGACGCAATCACTTCATGTATCAAAAGAGTTTATGCGCGTGAACGATTGATGCTGAAATAATAGTTGAAATCATATTAAAGTAGACTAACTCAATGTTCAAGAGTGCAAGGCTGAGGAAGTCACCTGTCCTTGTAGAGGGTAAAAACTGAATCAGAGTGAATGAAGTCATAGGTTCTTGGGTAAGTAGACATAGCTTCACACCTGCCAAGTAACAAGTCATTAGCAGCACTAACAAAGCAATGCATATGACAAAACGGTATTCCGTACCATATCTCTAATTGGAGACGTGGTTCATAACATGATTCGTAAATGCGGTTCAAATAGTTTTATCGTTATTGCATGGGGGAAAGAGCATACCAATTCTGATAAGTTCCAATCAATCCTCGTTCATAAATGGCTCCAAGGGTGTTAACCTCAGCCTCAACAGGGACAATGTTCATAACCCACACAGGGTCATGAACAAGTACAGCTGCAAAGCCGCCCAAGTAAGCGTTCATATCGAGCAGATTCCGGTACCTCCCGGGCTCTGCCAACTGATAATCCACGGTCTTGTAATATTCTACTCTTTTCTTCCATAGCTCTGTGTTTTCTCTGAAGCTCTCAGCGGTGATTCCTGTCAGCCTCCCACTGCTGATTCTTGGAGGGACTGTGTTTAGCCTCTCTGGCCATTTAGCCAATTGCCCTCCTGCAATTTCTTTTATGTTGTTCACTCCGGGAAGTGGGGTTAAACAATCCTCCATTTTCGTATACCTACCAAAAAAAAAGAGATGCAAGGATGTTGAGTAAAACTTAAACAAAAAAAGATTAAAAAAAGATTCGAGTAAAGAACAAAAAGGCAGCAACAAAATACGAGTGTATGGATGGTTCGACTTGGACAGTTTAACTACTCTACCTGCCTTTGCTATCAGGTTGGTTTTGGATCAATGCCAAAGTGTACATTCTTTAACAGCTGGAAAACTTGTCTTAACTATACCGGGAACACTAGTGTGATGGTATCTCAAACTAATAACGTATTGCTACGTGGAAAAATTAAATTGCGTTCTAGGTATGGAATATCGCCAGAGACATGTTCGGTGTAGGTAAGTTCTAGTACTATAGACACCAAATTTTAAGATATCATCTGACGTGTTAGTGTTTCATGCTAGGCCCATCCTCGACCTTATTTGTTCAAAGCAAATAAGAAATAGTCACATTTATTGGTAACCAAAATTTAGTATGGTAAGTTCATGTCTCTAGTATTATTGTTAGAGAAAATCTACGAAAATCTAAAAGAAAAATTATTTCAGAAATTGGAGAGACTAGATAATTTAAGAAAGGAAAAGCACATTACCAAGCAGTGTCAGGATCTTGAGCTTGGCAGAAGGATGGTTTCTTGAAGAGCTTTCTGGTGACCTTGCAGTGAACATGGTTGGTGGGTTTTTGCCAAATTGCAAGGTCACCCTTCTGCTTCAGTTTCTTCCAACATAAGCTTTTTGCTACATTCTCAATCGTTGTCTGCTCAGCTTTAAGATCTTCAGCTGTTCTTTCCCATCCTTTCCAGTGATTCTCCCAGTTTATTGGTGGCCCGGAAAGAATCCAGTACCCACCGGGGCGTAAAACTCGATCAACTTCGATCAAGTAAAGTCCATCTGCATGATCAAAATCCCAAGTTAAACATCTTCATCTTCAAGCATCATATATACTAGAGCAAAGAAAATGTTTTAACCTAAAGTTGATCAGGGTTTACAGTGAATTTACCATATTGGCCCCAGGGGATGAGGCATCGAGAGCAGTGAGCCATGTCAAAAGCTCTTGAGGGGTAAGGAAGTCTTTTGGAAGCAAGAATGCCAATCAATGCAGGAACTCCTCTTTCAAGAGCAAATTGAACTTGTGCTTCATGTGTGTCTCTTGGTGCAAATGACACTGTTAGAATGTCCCTGGACAAAAGGTAAGCTCCCCAACTTGCAACCTTAAAGGAAAATTATAAGAATATTCGTCACTCTAATTACACATGACAAATATCAGCATGAGAAAATCTTCATTTCAAGCGGTTACATATTCCATGGTTTTTGTCACTCTTACGTGACTGCACCACGAATATTGAATGTTAAAGAAATATGAACAGGTAACAGAACGAGCAATTGACTAGTCTAACTTATTTTTTCATAAAGGGAAGTGATTTTCACACAATTTTTTTGATCTCTTACGCACCGTTTACCTTTATTTAGTTATAGCAGTTGTATCAATATAAAAAGTAGTGTGTGAGAAGCTAAATCAGACATGTCAAAAGCACTTCCCTTTGAAAATAAACTTTCAATTAAATAAAAGTTATTGACAAAGAATTCTGTTGAACTGTTAGAGGGTGACTTGTACAAAATAATTAAGGAGATAGTTGGTAAAACTAAGGAAGGTTGGAAAGTCTATGAACAAATATTATGTAAACATGTCTACATTTAATTTGGCATTAAAAGCAGATTAAGTAACTACCATTATAAATAAGTACATTGCAAGATATATAGAATCGCTTTTTCCACAAGTCAATGCTAATTAATAGTAAAATAAACTTATCATGTTGACCGACATCTTTTATGCACTTTGCTTCAGTGCCAAGGGTGCATATATAAAAAAGATTTTCAAATTATTTTCATTCATGGTCTAATTTCTACTAGCCAATTATTTTCCAGAAATTTTAGCATTGGCTGAAATGGATTTTTTTATTTTTTTTATTTTTTTGAACAAACGATATAATTTGATGAGGAAAAAATGGGCTGAAATGGATATTTAACTTTATAACTTTTCACTACTTAATTAAGACAACATGGTTTTCAAAAACCATTTTCCAATTTGGTTTTTCCCAAAATAATGTAGAATAATCCTACCCACCACCCTGCCAACCCACATTTTTGCTAATTTCTTTCATAATATCATGCTAAACAAAAAATATATTTTTTGTTTAATTCTTAATTTTGATTTCTACAACTTACCTTTCTGGGTCCACAAAGACAACTGAACCTTATATGCCTCTATTTAGACAATGAGAATTAATATTCTTAAAATAGTTATAAAATAATAATAATAATAATGAAAATAAAAAATAAAAAACCGAGCTGCAACTTCCTTTTTTTTTTTTTTTTAGTATTAAGTTTCTGCCCATAAAAGGTTGAAATTTCTGTAGTTTTCCTTAGGATTTCTCTTTCCTTGAATTACTCAAGTTATCAAACACAAAAGGAAACAAATAAAATGAAAATTCCCTCATACCCTATCACCTTTAAGACGCTTGCTTTCTACTCAAACAATCCTCAATTAAAAAAAAAAAAAAAAAAAAAACAGACCAAAGTGTCACATATTGGCCGATTCGGCCATTCCGGCTGGCAGATCACAGTTCCGACAAAATTATGCAGCATAAACGTTTTCTTGTCAGATAATCAAAGCACATATCCAAAGAAAGAATGTGAAATACTCAACCCAAAATACAAATCATTATCGTTTCAATTGACAAAGAACCAACCTACCTGCTCCTAACAAACATATGCATTTACACATGAACATTGCGGCCATAGCCAAACTACCATTCACCAAACTCGTAACCATAACCATGATAGCTTTTCAAACCGAAATAATAAATGAATAAAAAAAAGTAAATAAAACTTGCTTACCCCGCAACCGGTATCGATGGCGGTCCGTATAGACCCCTCTCTGAGATTAATCAACTTTCCGATATCATCAATATACGCATCTGCACCGCGAGGAAACATGGTCCCGCCACCAGGGAACCTAAACCGATCCCCTTCGTAATGAACCCAGTTCTGCATCTTCTTCTCCACGGTCAACTCCTTGTGCGGCACGTTTGCATACCAAACCGATTCTCGGCTTTCCGGCCACCGAAACGGCACCTTGTAGCCGTGAGGCGCTGGAATCCGACACTTCAGGAGCTCCTCCTTGTCCGGGCAATGCCTCTCCCTGTACACCAACCTATCCCTGTCGAACTTGAGCGATCTCGTGACGTCCTCGCACGGGGTGTACTCGCTGTGCTTGGCGTCGCAGGCCGGCAGGTGAGCCACACGCGCAGCCACGGGAGGTAGGGGGAGGTCCTCGGCGCGGTGGTGGGCGTTGAAGTCGAGAGTGATCGTTGTGTTGGTGGTGATTGGAGGACATGAGGCGACGGCGGAGACAGGTGTGTTAATTACGGCGCGGCTGGTTGAGTGCTGCCAAATTCCGACGAGGTAGCAGATCGTGCAGAGGACTGCGGCTACCGTCATGAAATAAAGGTTGGCTCTTTTGGGTTTCAGTGAAAAGTACTGTAGTGGAGTTTGGATAGCCATTGTTTTAGAGAGAGAGAGAGGGAGAGAGAGAGAGAGAGAGAGGATAAGAGGGTGTGTGTGTCTATATATATACACAGGGAAAGAGGTTGATGATTTGAGTGAGAGGGTTTCAAGGTTGATATTATAAAAATTTTCTATACCCTTCCATTTGGAAGAGGCGAG